AGGTTCTTGTACTTACTCTACAAACTAGTAATGGCATTATTTCACATGACAAATCAGGTATTATGTATAAATTGCAAGTATAGAAATACTAGACTTAAAAAAAATCAGCTTTTAGAAAGTTCTGCCTAGTACAGGAATACTTTCCATACATTTGTAATAGAAATTTAGAAATATATGCTCAGGTTAACTAAACATTACATTGTACAAGTCTTTAACTTGGTCCTTAAGAACCTGATGAAGACAGAGAATGTGGTGCCATATTGGTGAAGGAACAGGTGATTTGGGGGTGACCTCAGACTAGCTCAGATCCAGAGGAAGCAATGGCAGCATTACCTCATTTCCATGGCTGGATCTGGGCCAGCCAGATGCTAAATTATATATATATAATAAACTCAAATTACCAATATGTCATCATCATATTTCCTTCCAGTTGTATCTTATTTCTTTCCATCTTTATCACTAGTGCTTGTATTTTATCCTCTTTGCATAAGGGTAGGGCCTAATGTAGTTTGAAAGTACTATACCATGAGTTCTCTATCAGTCTTGTAGAAGAAAGAGAGAAACTGCTAGAAATGCACAGTTCAGTCTAGGATAAGTGAACAGATGTTGTTGTTGTTGTTGTCAGGCATCGTTAGTGTCTTTGCAGTATTTTTCATGGCATTACCTGCCTTGAAAGGCAAATTTGAATTTCTTTTTCACAGCACTTTAGAAAGTGTCCTTTGGGTTAGCCTGATCCACTACTGTACAAAAGGAGCTGCTAATTACACAGTAAAGAACTGTATGTCTGTTTTGTAGATCAAGGTTTTCTTCCTGCCTTTCTTCACAATACGGGCTTTATGAAGAAGTGTCAAAGTCAGTACCAAGTGTCTGGGTCAGTGCCTCAAACATACGTTTGGGACATGCTGGCCTTGTGCATCATGTTCCCTTCTGGTACAGTTTATACCAATTAAGAGAGCAGACTAAAATCAGAGCACTGCTTTTCACAGGAAAACTCCTTTGCCACTAGCAGCTGAATTTGCTGCAAGGCTTCTTTACCTAAAGTGCCTCCTTTTGCCACTTCTGATTCTGCACTTTCAATGGAGGACTTGAAGTGTTCTGATTATAAGAGTGATGTACATGCAGTGATTAACTGTTATTATCAAGGGATTAGCACCAAAAATATAGTTTTGCACAAAGACAACTATTAGAGAACTTCCATTTCATTACAGAAGGAAAAATTAGGTAAGCATTTATGGTAAGGATTCAGATCTGGTTACAATTTTTACAATCTTTTACTGGTTTGAGTCTACTTTTACTATTGCATTTGTATCTAGGTATCTTAGACAAATTTCTGGTGGAAATCAGGTTAGTGAGTTAGGAATATTCAGGAAAGGAAAATATATTCCTGAATATCAAATTCAAAAGACACATTTAGATACAATAAAAATATGTTTCTTTTTAACCTTCTTCTTTTGTACATAAACCAATCTGTATGTTTCAATATTTAGTAAAGATTTAATTGGCAGGTTTTTTCATATTTTTGAGCTAGGCCTTCTTCTTCCTTCTGAAATCTCTGGGGCTGTTTGCACTTACTGACAGGCCAAGTAGGCAGAGGCACCTTTTGGTATGGTAATGTTTGTCAGTCCCCCTGGTTCTACTTAGACCAATAAAATTATTTTTTTAATCATTGAAGTCAGTGGAAAGTATTTCTGGCGTTTCATCTGTAAGCCTTTGAGTTTAGCCAGTCAGGTGTTCCATCTGAATGTTTCAAAGCACTAAAAATTACTAGGACAGTGTTTTTGATATATATATATATAGGGAGAGAGAGAGGAACATCTCTCAGGTGACCAGTATTTCCAATCTGAAATGACAGCTATCTAGAGTAACTTGGCTTTGCCTAGGTCCTGATCTTGTATTCCACCCTATATTTAAGAGTCATATGTATTCTAAGTGCTACCACAATATGTTAAGCTGTTATGAGTTACATTCTTTAAATCCAGCCATGGAGAATCATGAAGTCATTCAGCTTGAGATGGACCCCTTGAGGCCACAAAGTCCAAACTCCCCTTAAATTAGGTCCAGTTAGATTAAACTGCTTGAGGCCTTATGTGATTGAGTTTTGAATATATCCAAGGACAGGGAATTCATAGCCATTCTGGGCTGACTACTACCATGGTAAAAAAAAAAATTCCCTCCATCTAATTAAAAGTTACACCATTTATTCTTGTCCTTCCACTAAGGGAAAAAAGCCTGGCTTAATCTTCCCTATATCCTCACATAAGATAGTCATAGACAACCACCCAATCTCAGAATAACAGAACTGTTTCTATTGGAAAACATTTCATGAAACCATCTAATCCAACCCCCTTGCTCACATGGGGTCAGCTAGAACTTGTTGCTCAGGACTGTGCCCAGTTGCTCAGCGAATGTTTCAATCTTCCTGGGCAATGTATTTGACCAGCCTCACAGTAGAATAGTGTTTTCTTGTGTTCAGATGGAATTTAATGTTTTTCAGTTTGTGCCCATTGCCTCTTCTCTCTGAGGACCACTGAAAAGAGCCTGGCATTGTAGTCTTCATTCCAGCCAACCAGGTATTTAAACATGTGGGTAAGACATCCCCAAACCTCTCTTCTCCAGGGTGAGCAGTCTCAGCTCTCTCAGGTTTTCCTGGAAGATGCTCCAGTCCCCTAGTCATCTTTGTGGTTCTTCACTGGATTTGTCTAGTAAGTCCTTCTTGTTCTTGAATTGGGGAAATCCTAGCTGGAGACAGTGCTCCATGCATGGCTTTAGTGATGAGTAGAGAGAAAAGCCCACCTCCTTCCATATGCTTTCAATTCCCTTCCTCATGTGGCCTATGAGACTGTTGGCTGCATTTGCCATCAGCTTGCATGACTGTCTCATGGTCAGCTTGTTGTTCACCCAGACCTTCAAATCCTTCCCTGCAGGGCTGTTCTTTAGTCAGGCAGGTCACAGCATGTAACAATGCTTTGTGTTATTCCTCTCCAGATGCAGACCTCTGCATTCATCCTTGTTGATCTTCAAGAGATTTCTCTCAGACACCCTTTTTCTGACTGTCCAAGACCCTCTGAATCTTACCGTATCTCTGATCTACAACCATCTTATAGGTCAGCTAGTCCTTCTAGTTGTGTACTACTTGCTGAAGATGTACTCATGGTCATTGGTGAAGTTGTTTAACAGAGCTGTTCCTGACATTGACCCTTGGATAAGCCACTAATGACTTGCCTCTAAACCAATGATCACAACACTCTGGGCCTGGCAGGTAGGCTGCTTTAATCCACCTCATTGTATGCTTATTTAACCTGTGTTTTTCTGTGAGGCTGTTAGGGGAGCCAGTGTCACAAATCTTACTGAAGTTGAAGTAAACAACTTCCACTGTTCTCCCATCATCCACCAAACAGTTACATCATCCACATGGTGGAAAGTTATCAGGTTAGTTAAGCATGGCTTCCTCTTCATAAATCCATGTTGACTATTCCTGACTATCATGTTGTGCCTCACCTGTTTAGAAAAATGGCTTCCAGGATCAACTGTTCCTTTGTCTTCCCAGAGACTGTGGTGAAGCTGGTCTGCCTTGATCTTTCACATTGCCATTTTTGAAGATAGAAGTAACATTTTTTTCCCTCTAGTCTTCAGGAATCTTTCCCAGTTGCCATGACATTTCAAAGACAATAAAGAGAGGACTTGCAGTGGTATCATGCAGCTTCCTCAGCACTTGTGGTTCCAACCTCTTATGCTCCATGAGTTTATGTATGTACGGTTTGTTTAAGCTCTCTTTAATCTGTTTTTCCTTCTATGGAGGGCTAGGCATGTTCCAAACCTTCTCTCTGTTTTCTGGGGCTTGGGATTCCTCAAGGACATATTTACTAGAAAACATGGAGGCAAAGAAGGTATTGAGTATCTCAGACTTTCTCATATGCTTTGTTATTGGCACCTCTACCCCATTCAGGAAGAGTTTACATTTTCCCTAGCTGTCATTTTATTCCTTTTGCTATTTCCTACAACTACACATAGAATCCTCTCTTGTTCTCCTCCATGTGTAGAAATGTTGCTAGATTCAACTCCAGGCTGGCCCTGGCTTTCCTGGTGCTATCACAAAAGCTTTGTACTCCTCCTGCACAATCTGCCCCAGCTTTCGCTCCTATGTGTTTCCTTTTGAGTTCAGTTAGGAGCACACTCATTCCAGTCTCTAGCGGCCTTTCATTTCCTACTTGTTGTGATGGAGCTTTTTGATCTTGTAGGAGGTGATTCTTGAATATCAACCAAATCCTCTCCTCTCCTCTCCTCTCCTCTCCTCTCCTCTCCTCGAGTCTCCTCTCCTCGAGTCCCCTCTCCTCGAGTCTCCTCTCCTCGAGTCTCCTCTCCTCGAGTCTCCTCTCCTCGAGTCTCCTCTCCTCTCCTCGAGTCTCCTCTCCTCGAGTCTCCTCTCCTCGAGTCTCCTCTCCTCGAGTCTCCTCTCCTCTCCTCGAGTCTCCTCTCCTCGAGTCTCCTCTCCTCATTTCTCTGCCTCTTGCAGATTTCTCTGCCATTTAAAGGAGATAAAAAAAAGGGTGGGGAGTGAATTTGAAAAGACAACAAAACCAACCACATAAAACCCCAGCCTGCAATCCAAAAAACCTCAAAAACAAGCGAACAAGCAAAAGCCAAAATGGCAAACCTCTCCAAAACAACTGCAAAAATAAGCCCAAAACAACATCAGAAACAACACCAGAAACAAACAACAAAAACAACTCAGAAGAAAAAGAAACCCCTCCAGATCCTCAAAACTTGAGCAAAGCCCAGCTGCCTGCACCCACCCAATTGCCTGCATCAGTGTGCTGACAGTTCCAGCTGTGCACAGAGAGATGCATATGGGTAATATCTGTCACTCACAAAAACTTTTTTGAGTAGAAATTTGCAATGTTTATATATGAGCTTTGCATGATGTGCCACCTGTCCTCTTGCCTGTGTTATTTCAGGAACTTGAAGCAAACCAGTTTGATAAGCTTTTATTGATTCCACAGCTCAATTAACACTGTGCCTGAGGCACAGACCTTTCTGATCCTCCAGCTCAGGGTCTCATCTGTGCCCCCAAAACTGGTCTTCATCCTCATGGTAAGAGGACTTGCAAACCTTGAAATCTCCTGAAAAGCTGTATCTGTGAGGATGGGGCTATTTCACCCCAAATATTGCCAGCAAATGTCTTGTGGGATGGGCATCTTGGGGTGGGTATTTGTCAGATGGAGGTTTTGCTTTTCTCTCTGTCTTCTGCTGTCACAGAGCAGAGCAGGAAAGGGTTTTTTTTGCAAACCCACTTGTGTAGAGCGTCACATCTATTAACTTCAAAGTCCTTGGCTCTCAGTGTCCCGCACCCTTCACCCATCTCGTGCAGAGAGGGGCCAAGCCTGTAAAACAAAAATTGTATTGCTAAAGAGGAGGAAACTCTCCAAATTGTGCAGAAAAGGTGTAGTGGGATGGGGTTATTCTGCTCCTTTCCTGTAGGTACGGAGGAGCCCGCCGAGCCCGAGATCCTGGCTCTCTCCTGGAGGCAAGACACCTTTCACTCAGAGAGAGACAATGTATCACTCCCAGGGGTCTTTGAGTTAGATATGTTAAACTGTTGTGCTTCATTGGTGTTCCCCCCTGCTGTCCCACCCCGATACAGGTATCTCGGGCTTCCCCCGCCCCTCTCCTTCCCCATAAATACCCCGAGTTTTCCCCTGTTCGGGGGATTCGCTGTTGCCGGCACCCTTCGCCGGAGCTCTGCCTGAATAAAGGTTTGTGCTTTAGCGGAACGCTGGACCAGCTTTCTCGTCCCTGCTTCCCGTGTCGCCTGTCCGCCGTCGCTGAGCTGAGCTGAGCTGGAATCACTCAACTACTACTGAGCTGAGCTGGAATCGCTCGACTGCTCGAAGCTGCTCACACGCGCTTCGGGCCAGCCCTTCTCAGGGCTGTTTCTCTAGAGAAGTCGCGGTGCTCTGGGCTTTCCGTTGCCGCCTGCACTTTCCTGCACTGTCTTACTCTGCATGCTTCCTTTCTTGCTGGAGGGATGACCAGATTTGAGGAGAGTTGCTGTGCCTGCGGTAACATCTGCAAGGAGCAGGTGTGGAGCATGAAAAGCCATGTTATTGCATGGGTCTGATGGGAGCTGTGAGGTTACTGTGCTCCAGTACAGTTCCCCAACTTTTTGTCTACAGAGCTTTACTGGGGGGAGTACAAAACTCTTGCATAAACTCCAACATCTTGGACAGATGGGTCAGGCATGAACTGGGTCTGAAACAGAGCAAGGCTGCTGTTTATACTGACAAACTGTGGATACACTCACATTTTGGGGTTGAAAGGTGTGTTGTCCACCCATCTCCACACCTTCTGATGTGACATTAATCCAATCCACACAGGTGGTGGACTCTTGCCTGTAACAGTCTTGATGTGCTCCTGGAAAACAGAAGTGACCAGGTGTTCCAAAATCTCTCTGTGGAGGGTTTCATGGCAATCAAATTCACAGAGTAAATCTGACTCCCAAATTCATGAGACATGAATGTCTACAATACTTTGAATGCTTCCCCAAACCCTCCTGTTGCTAGGCATTTTTTTCTTCCTGCCCACCTAAAAATAGGGACTTTTATGTCCTTTTTAAGCATTCTTCTCCCCATTTACCTTTTCTTTCTTGTCCTGGAGCACCACCAGCTGGGAATCCTGATTTTCACAGTTTTTCATGCCTTGAGTCCAGTTTCCCAGTTCCTCAGAAAGCCAGTAGCATCTTTCCCCATGGAGCTGCCAGTCCTGGGGACACAGCTTGCAGCCAGCACAGGCTGAAGAGGAGAAAAAGCCATGAAACACTCTGAAGGGTTGTCAGGTTATTCCCCAGCCACCAGCTGAAGGTACTGAGGGGTTCCCCATCCCACACCCCAATTCTTTCCCCATTGCTGAGTTTTTTCACATCCGTGTGGTTTTTGCAGCCACTGGAGAGGAGGGTTACTGAGGCTGGGTGACCACAAGGACATTATCAGCCAGTGGAGGTGGAGGAAGAGTTGTGAGGAGCCTCCTCCCTAGGGCTAATGATGCTTCTCTATGAATGAAGGATCAGGAAAAATTGCATGGAAAAGAGGATTCTTCCTTGCAACACTTCTCTTTGCCAAATAACCTTTGTGGCCTCACAACCCCAAGGGTCTCAGGGTCTCTCTCCTTTCAGCAGAAGACCCCCACAAAGGTGTCGCCTGAGCACCTCCCAGCAGAGTCAGATGGGAAGGGGGGGGTTACCTGTGGGGCTGTCCCCTTGGGGCTTGCAGAAATACCGCACCAAGGATGAAAACTTGCATTGCTCCACCTGGTTCCTTCCCTGGATCCCACTGCCTAGCTGCGGAATGCTTGTCTCCACTGGCTGTGGGGAGCCCTGAAAAACTTGGAGCAGTAATCCAGAGTGAGAAGCTGCAGCCATTTGGGGATAAAAACCACATACACCACAAAACTGGGTTTCATTTTCTCATGCAGTTGCTTAAGCCAGCCTGAAAAACATAGCTTGCATTCTCCACCCTTTTTTGATAGCTATGGGTATAATCTAAGATTACTGGAAATGGGTTTATTCTTGATGGGTGATGTCACATCTCCACAGGACAACCTCGTCCCCTCCAAAGACTGAAATGCTGAAATTAACCCAAATTTCCCCTCCCTGGCTGCTCACTGGAGTGTGAGATGTAGATAAGAGCTGGTTACTCACCCCACACACTCAGCACCACCACCAGGACCAGCAGGATGAGTTGTCCCAGCCCCCCAGCTATGAAAAGGAGCCTGTGCCACCATGGACAGAAGGCAGGTGCTGAAAGAGGCCACATTTGCTTTAAAAAATAAAAGATGAAAATGCTGGGGGTCTAGAGGGGGGGGGGGGAAGCCCCTCTGTCAAGCTTGTGAGTTTGAAAAGAAGTTTACAGCTTTTTTTCCTTCCTCCAAAAAAGTAAAACACCACTGATGAGGTCTAGAGAGAGGGTGGTTTCCCAGGAAAGCCCCTCTCAGGAGGAGGGGATGCAGGGGCCTCAGAAGCACCCTTGGGCACCCAATAATGAAGCTTAGAGGATTGGAAACCTTCTGAAATTGGCTTAATTTAGGGTTCTTCATAGAGATGGGAGCTGGTGAGACAAAGGTCACTCCAGCTCTCATCTCCATCAGGATTCCAGACAGGATCTCAGCAGCTGTCCTTCCAATCCAGATGTGTTGGCTCATGTTTGGTTTCTTGGCACCCATTTTGCCCCCCAGGTGAAGAGTCTTGGAAGCAAAATGGCTTCCAGATATCTGTCACCCTCTCCCATCCCTTCCTTTCTCTTTTTTCTCCTCTTTTCAAGTCAGGATCCCACCTCAGAAGACATTTAACCCACAACACTGCTCTCCATGATCTTGGAAACCTCAACACGGAGATGAGGAAGCAAGCAAACCTAAAAATATACAAATCCTAAAGTCTTCCCAAAATTTGAAACAAACATTTTCCCCCCAAAATAGGACTTACCACACTGCTTCTCAGCAGGAGAACAATCCCCAAGATGCCTTAAATCAGCATATACAATTTCCCTAGCCATGGTTGCTCAGAAGGTCCCAGGAGCAACCCAAAAGTGACAACGTCCTTGGACAACCCCTTGCCTTGCGAACTATGCACTCATGTCTGCATCCGGCTCCAGGAAATGGTGTTGGCTGCGACTTTTATCTGCTTTTTTTTTGTACATGTGTATATATATATATGTGCAAAACCAGCATCCGTATCTGTATTCTACACCCTTCCCTTGTGGACGGAAGGTGGTGAAGAAATGAATGCCCTGCAGCCAGGAAGAAGTGGCACACCTGGAGGTGTAGAAACATCTGTGAGTTTGGTAGTTGTGCTAAATATCTGTGGAAGCAGAATTAATAGAAAATAATTTCAAGAAGCCTTTAAATAATGTTTATGACTGTGAGGTTGAAGCATGTCAGGAGCTGGATCAGTGTGACCACAGGCAGGTGGGGAGAAGACAGGTGACATTTGGTGTTTCTTCCCCAAAATATGGACTGGGAGTGACTTGAAATGCCTTTTGTCCCATGTGAGTTATTCTGCTGATTTTGACACAATATTTGGCCTCTGTTTTATCCTGGGGCAGAGAGATCTGATGTGGTCAGGGGTTGCCCAGCTCCTGCCCAGGAAGAGGTAAGAATCTGGATTTGCTGCAGGCTGCTAATGATTTTTATTTTGTTTTGTTACTTTATTTTATTTTGTTTTTTTCTCCTCCAAGCCCACCCTCCCACTCCTGATGTATCCTCTTGCACCATCTAGACCTACCTATGTTTTTGCCAGGTTTTGGGCTCTTTGGCAAATGCATGGAACAGCCACCAATTTCCAGCCTACAACAACCTTTTCCCCCTCTTTTTTTTTTTTTTTTTTTTTTTTTTGTGTTAATCCCAGGTTTTAGTCAGTGCCACAACATCCCAAAGCAACACCTTTTTATAGCGGTAAAAAAATTACGTTTTTTCCCTTGAACACCCAAAAAAAGGCAAGGAAAAAAGCACAAATTTGCCCCAATACCTATCAGCAACCAGAAAGAGGGTAAATAAGAGGATAAAGCCAAAGGTCCAAAGGGTCCAATAGGAAAAACACTCAGTTATTTTATTTTTTAATTTTTTAAAAAAATTTTTAGTTAATTAAAATAATACTTTTATTTCAAATTTGTGTTTATGTAATTTTTATTTTTATTATCTCATGTTTATTTTTAGTTTCTTTTCCACTCGCAGCCTTTTCTTTGTCACTGAAAGTTTTTTGTGGTGAGCTGCTATCAGCCACCCTTCCTGCCCTGTGCACAGGCAGCTGCTTCAGTGGTGTGTGACCAATGATTACAAAAACCCCCTAAAAAATACAAACAAATTAGGTTTTAGGGTAAAACCCTGCAGCTGGGTAGCTTAATTGCAAGAACACTTATTTTTTTATATTTTTATAGTAAAAAAAACTTAAAATGGGCTGAAGGAAACTGTACTTCATCCTTGTAGAATCCCTGAGGGCTGTTCTGGGGTGCCCTGGCATCCTGGAACAGAGTCATGTCCAGCAGTGTTTCCTCCAACTGCACACTAAAAAAAAGCATTTTGGACAGTCTATCTCCCTAGCTGAGAAAAAAAATCCGGAAATGCTGGAAAAGAGGATGAAGTGATGCCAGGTGGAGCTGGAGAGGAACCCCAGTTTCAGTGGGTGGGCAGGTGGCCCTGGGCAGCACCCTTCATTGCCCTTGAGGAGGCACAGGAAAACCCCTCAGAAAACAATAAAATAAACCAAAACAACTTTTTTTTTTTTTAAATACTTTGTTTCTCTTCACAGGAGCAGGTTGTGCCTCAAGCATTGGTCTTGTTCCCGCAGAGCAGACACAGGTGACAGGGTTTGGGATGGGCCCAGGGGCTGCGGGGAGGTGGTCTTAAATTTTGTTTGGAGAGAATTTCAATTTCAGGGAGAAGTTTTTAAGTGCAGGAGAAAACTGAGGAGATTTTAATAAGGGGAGATTATTTTAAGTGGGAGGAGAAAACCTTAATTTTGGGGAGAAAATATTAATTGAAAAGAAAATATTAATTGAGGGGGAGAAGATGTTAATTGGGGGAAAACCTTTCATGGGGAGAAAAGTGTGCAATGGAGGAAACTTTAATTATAGCAGAAAATTTTAATTGCAGGGAGAAAATGTTACCTGAGGAGACTTTAATAGGGGAAGACTTTAATTGGTGGAGAAAACTAATTTAGGGTGGAAGTTTTATTGTGGGGAGAAGACTTGACTTACAGGGAGAAAATTTTAACTGAGGGGAGAAAAATATAATTAGGGGGATAAAACTAATTGGGGGGAGAGGAAATTTTAATTGTAGGGACAAGATTTTAATTGTGTGAGAAAACTTCATCTGGGGAGAAAAGTTGAAATGCGGTGCCGGGAGAAAATTTTAAATGGGGAGAAAATTTTAATTGAGGACCAAAAGCCTTCATGACACCTCTGATAGATGGAACTTTGGTTGGCAGGTGTTTGTTCCACTTGTAGAGGTGGAACCCTGGAAATGGAGGAAACGAGAGTTTATTCAGGACTTTCGGGCATGGCAAGGAGCAAGCGGGCAGGTAACTGTAGGGCAATGAACTGTAGAATCACTGGATTTGGGTTTTATTTTGACACTTCTGTAATTTGAGAGCAAAACTCAGCTGAAGTAAAGTTGCTGGGGAAAAAACTTTTTCTGGTACTTCCCTTGAGGGAAAATTTTTGTCACTCAGCAGATAGAATTTTTGCTCTAAACAGACCAAATTCAGACATGATTCTAATTTAGTATTAACACTTTCTGAGGCTCCTGAGTAACAGATTATTTTAGGCATATTTTTTCTCCACAAATATTCCAATTTTCTGATTTATTCTGGATTAGAATAAAAAAATTTTTGAAGAGTTGAACTGTAGAAGATCTGGAAAAGAAATTTTGTGTTTAAATCCGGTTTGGACACATCCGAAAGTATGTATAATTGTCTTATTTCCTTGGAGAAATCAGCTTTCCCTTTTGCCCTGTTTCAGCTTTCCTGATTTTGCTCCTATCTCTATCAACCCTTTGGCACACAGTAAAGTAAAAAAGGGACTTTTGGAGAATTTTACATCATCTTGTTCTACCCAACAATGGGACCAAGATTTTTGAGGAATGGATTTACTTTATTTAGCACATTTGTGACTTTTTCAAATTTGATTTTTTTTAAAAAAAATTAAATTTATTTGTTGATTTTTCATTTGTTTTTTTAAATTTTTTTCATATAACTTTTAAAAATATATATTAAAAAAATATGGCATGTTTGGCTTCTGACTTACTTTCTAATGTTTTTTCAGGAAGAAGAGGGGAGAGGAGGGTTTTTTCCATGACATTTGGTTCATATGATGGGGACAAAAATGAAAAATCTTAAACAAAAAATGGGGGAAGTCCTACTGGATGAAAACACTAGAATTTTTGGATAAAACCCCTGGGAAACAGAATTTTCTTTGCTCATGGTGAAGGGAAAGTGCATATTCTGAATCACAAGATACAGAAATGGAGGTACCATGACTCAAAGTGTCTTAGTTTAGGAGGAGAAAAAAAACTCCACTGAGCTTTAATAATGAGGTAAACCCCAAAAATTAAAGCAAAGTTTAAATCATGGTACATTTCAGGAATTTGCATCTGGAGCTGGGGAGGAAATTGTACCCCAAAGAGCTCCCATAAATAAAAAGATAAATAATTGTGTTCTACATGAAGAAGAATTTTTGGTATTTCTCACTCAAAATGACACTAAGTCTACTGGCATTGGTATGAGACCAACCTTTCATCATCTTGGCATGACCTGTAGCACTTTGCTGCCCAGGGAGCCCTCTCAGAGGCACTGAAGGTCTGTTCTCCTGCAGGTCACAGCGTGGAGATGAAGCCAGAGGCACGTGTCACCTGCCAGGTGGTGCTGGCAATGCTTTTCACGGCTCTGTTCATCACAGCCATCGCTTTTGCAGGTGAATGCTGAAGTTTTGGTTTCACAGGTAACATCTCTGAGATATTTTGGATGGTTGCATTTGTGACAGATCTACTTCCATGTTCCTGGGGAAGACAAAGCCCACCTTTCTGCTGTTCTCTCTGGCAGAAGGACATTTCAGAGCAGTCTTTCTACAGAAGACCAAACCCATCCCCTTGGTGTGGGAGCTGATGTCATTTAGAAACCCTTAGAAAATCAACAGGAAGTGCCATTTCAGGAGTACAGTCTCACAAAAGTATTGTTTTCAGAGAAGAAGGGGCCTGGAGATGTTGGCATGAGTCCCACCAATTCAAGAAGTCTGCAGGAATAAGAGGATATTTTTCCTGTCATTTTCACTACTTTTGCATTAATGACAGAGAACAACGCCCAAGGGCATGTATAGGGATAGGGCTACTCTGAAATTCCTCTTTAAAATGCAGTTTTTTGAAGTCTACCATCCTGTTTCCTTCTTTGAAAATGCAGCACCTGAGTTTCTTGTCCAACATCACAAGCGGAGCCATGATATGAGCTTATTTTCTCACAGGATTTCTCCTGGTATCTTAATTTTCCTCTTTGCCCACAACTGAGGCAGATGCATGGGGAAAAGGATGATCTCCCCACACCAGAGAGGTGAGTGGAAGGTGCTGCTGGTTAATGCTGTTCTATTTTTAATGACAGTGCAGGCTCTTCAGCCTCATGCCCAGCCCTGCTCTCAGTGTCCCTTTGACTGGATCAGGTACAGAGGAAAATGCTACTATTTTTCTGAGGTTGAGAGGAACTGGACATCCAGCCGGGACAACTGCTCAGCACTTGGTGCTTCTTTGGCCATGCTGGACAGCATGGAGGACTTGGTAAGGAGACATGAGGACCTGCTCAGCACAGGGTAAAAAACTCAAAAGCAGTGTATTTGAAATCTTTTGGTTTCTTTGACTGCTCTTCCAGGATATTTTTTGAAGGTCTGGGGTGAGAAGTTGGGGAAAAGGCCTTGAGGGTATGTCATCATGGGTATCTTCAAATTCCTCACCAAAGCCAACTGCTGCAAGAACTGTAGGAATAAACTCCTGTTTCTAGATGACACTTTTTGGTATCAGATTCACCAGTTCAAGCCCCAAAGAAGCCCTAAAGCAGCAAGAGCAACTGGTAAAACTGAGATTTTTGGCTGGAAGAAGGTAAAAACCTTTCTTTTTCCTCTCTTTCAGAGCTTTGTGATGAGATACAAAGGCATCTCAGAGCATTGGATTGGCCTTTTGCGGGAGCATGAGGAGCAGCCGTGGCAATGGGTGAACCGCTCACCTCTGTCTCAATTGTGAGTCCATGTTTTTTCATTATTATGTTGTTGATTGGTGTTGCCTCAGCTGCAAAATGTGCCTTTCTTCTTGAACTTGAGGTACCTCCAGAGGTAGCAATGGGACAGTGTTTGGGAAGGGCAACATTGTATCTGGAACTGATGTTTGTTTTCCCCTTTGACCTAAAAGATGGAAGTGGTGCATTTGGTGAGAAATCCTAAATTTAGATTTTTATTTTGTTTTTTTCTTGCAGAAGTTTGGCTTTCATATTAGAAATAGATCAATGTCAGTGTTGGCATATTGATATTGAATTAGTTCTATTCCTATAAAAGAAATATATATAGATCTTTTGGCATGTTGGTGCCCATGAGAATGCCTGAGAACTGAGGCTGAGGGAAGCCTATGTGTGACTTCACTCTTTTTTCCTGCCACCACCCCATCTGAAATGGGTTAAGTCCTCTGTACTTCCAGGTTTTGGATCCGTGGTGGTGGGCTCTGTGCTTACCTGGATGACAATGGGCTCAGCTCTTCCCACTGCAGCATTGAGAGGAGCTGGATTTGTAATAAACATGAGCTGAAGATCTCAAGCAATGGCAACAGGACAAGACGGCCTCCAAACCTCTGTGTCAGCTCCCTGGGTGCCGCAGGGAGGCCTTCTCACTCCCAGATATTTGGTGCACCATAGGTACATGAAAGAAAACCTCAAAAAGGTTTTGAATCCCCTGGGCAAGGGGTTATTGGGGGTTCAAGGGGACCAACAAGGTGTTTCTGGGACAAGGCAGCCTTTGGGGATCCACATGAGATAGTTCTTGAGAATATGGGGGGTGGGGTGGGGGGACAGGGCAGCCCTGGGGGCTCTTCTTGGGTTTGGGGTAACTTGGTGATGGCCCAAAAGCAGACGCCTTCTACTTCTTAGAGAAAAATAAATTTATTCTTTTCTGAGCATATTTACATATTAAGTACTTGGAAATACATCTCAAGCGTGCGGAACAGCAGAGGAAAAGAGTAGGGGCAGTGGGTGTGAGCTCATCCTGGTGATGATAAAATCAGTTTTAATATAAGGCACAGTGGCTGGTATTAATCCAAATCCTACAGAAAGTAAGATTTTTAATTTGTGCTAGAAGACCAGCCAATCACAGGCACTAAGGTCAGCAAAAAGAACCTTCAGAGGAAGCTGAATTTGGGGGAAAAAGTGAAGTTTTTAGCTCAAAACTAGCTCAGGGAAGCCCAGCTTCAGTTAATGAGCTTTGTATGAATTTAAAAACTTGATATAAGCAGTGCTGAGCTCAGACCCAAAACCCCCTGGACATAACCCAAAACAGAGACATCTAAGATGGAGGTAGGACCATGAACTGAGTTAGAAATGAGTCCAAGACTTGGAAAATAAGAGTTGGGGAGTATCAACAAGCATTTACAACCACCATGATGCAACCAGCTTTTGGGAGGATCCTTCCAGGGCATCAGCCCTTGGGGGACAGTTTAATGGTTGAAAGGAGCACGCAAAAGTAGGGGAAGACCTTCTCCCCACTGAAGGAGGCCACAGGAAAAGTGAAGATGCGTTGGCGGCGGCTGACGGCGTAGAAAGAAACCTGTCCTACCTCGTAGTCCAGGTAGACCCCAATCTCCCCATTGAGGAGAGGGACAGAGGTGTTGGACGGAGCTGTGAGGGCAACACAGAGCTCATCATACTTCTGCAAACCCCAGATTTCAGTGTTGGGCTTGAAGAGGACCCGGCCTTTCCTCTGAACTGACTCACGGGCCACCCCCACAGCCCAGAAACGTCCATTGGCCTCCACCTCCCAGTAGTGACGGCCCGAGGTGAAACCCTCACTGCCCAGCATGCATGGATCTGTGTCGAAGCGGCCTGGACCCTCGGGCCACTGGCACTGAGGTCTACCCCAGGTGGCTTCTTTGAGGTTTTCAGAGAGGATCACCTCTGGACCCACTGTGGCTGGATCCAGGGTCACGTCCACTGAAAAGCAAAGCAGAAAATTAATCGGAAGCCAAATTTAAGCCTAGGGAATACACACTCCCAAATGCTTTTACTGGTGACTTTTCAAAGACAAAGGGAGAGGAAAGGTGAGGCTGGAGATGTAAGTGTGAAGAGGTAGAAGCTGGAGATGGAGCATATATATCCAGTTGAGGTTGGAGATGGAAGAGCAAAGAGATGGAGGTTGGAGACAGAGGCCCTAGGGAGACAGAAGATGGAGCTGGAGAACCTCCAACTGCATTGAACATCTCAGCCCAGAAAACCAAGGAACAGGAACTTTGCTCCTCTTTAGCCACCTCTGATTACCTTCAAACTGTTTGGCGGTGTGGTAGTCCAGGGCAAGGTCCCACGTGCATGGCCGTGGTTTGAGGAAGAAAGCCATTGAGCCCAAAGTAATTGTGCTCTCTTCCTGACTGTTGGCAGAAGAAAAGGAAAGAAAGGATAAAATCTAATTATTATCCTTCCAATACTCACATCTCAGCTTCTGCCCCTTTCTATGTCAAAAATATGTGCAACCACCACTTTTAATCAAAGTACTTCAATAAAATAGAATTCTTCAACAGTCGCAACAAAGCTTGGTTCATTTATGGGAATACCCTTGGAGATGGGTTAAATCAATTAATTCCCTGACGACTATGAAGGGAACATGAGGAGGACATTGGGATAAACCCATCTCAATTGTAGATACTGTTATATCCCCAAATCTACATTCCTCATGCTGGGTTAAGGTAGAATCTATTAATTTTAAATCCATCTCTGCCTCCACTATTCATCAGTCAAATATGACAAAGTTTATTTAAGTGAGGAAATTCCCTAAAATTGAGATAAGCCACATTCACTTCTCACATCCAGAGAAATCTTGTGACGGGGAAGAATTTTGCTGTTGACCTTGGGGAAAATGTGTATGGGGAGATAAGAGCTGGCACCAAATGGCCTCAAATTCATCCTCTGTAAGTCAGTGTGGGGTTTTGCATGCAAGGAGGGGATTGCCTATGTTAAAGGGCCCTGTGCATGAGTAATAAAGCCCCAAAATAATTGAATAAATCATGCTGTTACAGCTGAAAACCAACACGTTGCTTCTTTTCCGTGTGCCTTCCTCAGCAAATCTGCAGATAAGGGGATTAAAGCAGCTGGGTGATGAGTGAAAGAGGAAAAAAGGTGAGATAATCACCCAAATGGAGATAATAGCAGGAGCCATGCTGTTTCCCACTCAAATTCCCCAGCTGGATTGTTATAGGTAGATGAGAAGCAAATAATCACCATGACCCTCCACTGCAAAACATCTTTAAATCCAAAACAAAGATCTTGAGACCAAAGCAAGGATAAATCACTTCCCTTCTTGAGCTCATGGGGCAGGGAGGGAGCTCAAAATCCCCTTTCCCCAATCCCTACAGACATTAGGGTGATGCAACCCCCCTATCACCACTGGGACTTTCCCTCTCACTCAAACCTTGGTGCTCTCCTTGCTGTCACTGGTGCTGTTTTGGGGTTCCTCCAGACGGTTTTCTTCCACTGGCTGCCTCTCCACTGTTTTTTTTTTTCCTTTTGGGATTTTTTTCTTCCTCTCCCTGGCACAGGCTCAGCCAAAGCTCAGTCCTGTCTCAGCCTCTGCCAGCTTTTATCAGCCAAGAAGGGAGGAGCCTTCCAATCTCTTGCCTGCAGATGGGGCCATGACGTGTTTAGACGCCTTCTGCACCATCTGATTGCCCCTTTTCCCCCCATTTCAGGGCCATTTATTTTCTCAACACAGGCACTGGGGAGGGAGGGGAGGAAAATTAAGGCACTGCAAAAAAAAAAAAGCATTATTGCATGGCACCACAAAGGAGAAATTGGTTAAATTTTGCCCCCCTAGTTCCCCAAATCTGACTCTGGCCCCTTACGCATGATGGAGGTGAACAAGCTGGGAGCAGTTCCAGGTGAGGAATGTGACAGCAATTCCTGGAAATAAGATAACCTTGTGGATATAAAAAAAATATTCAAAGAATACTTGTGGGTGATGACATTTGCTTTTCCAGCTGGGCAGCTTGTGCCCGGAACTGAGCACAGGAACACCCAGGGGCGGTTCAGGGGCCGGCAGCTTCACCCTTTGCCACAGCCAACTCCCAACACTCCTTTCTCTTTGCCAGGAGGGCAGCATGGCCACAGCAGCTGCACAAAACTTCTGTGCTGACACTGGCCAGAGCTTCATCTCTCAGTGCTGAAGAGAGAAAAGCCCCTCAGGAAGCAATGGGTGAGCCACCACAGGCTGTGGTGATGAAGACTTTTGGAGAAGCAGACAAGACCTGCGAGGTGAGATCACCTTCCTATGACCCATCAGGCCTCCCCCCTCCCCCTTCCCCTGAAAAAAAAGGTTCAAAGTGAAAACATTTTAATTTCTTTGTGGGAAAGCAAAGCTCCAGTGTCTGCTCCTAGTTATGGGAAAAACACAAAGTGAGTTGATCCCAGCATTTCCAGGGAAGGCAGTGAGGGGGCTTTTTTAGGGGGATTATTTGCTTTCCTCCCCCAAATAATGTAAGATTTTGAAGGCAGGATTATACAAACAACCTGGGTTTATTGCTTCAATTGTTGTTTTTGTTTGTTTGTTTTGTTTTGTTTATGTATTCAGGAGAAAATACAGTCTCACCTGCAATCCCTTAGGAAGGTGTTGGCAGCATTTCTGGACTGGAGAGCAAGTGAAGAGAAGAGACATCAGGACTACCTGGTACAGGAGTCCTCTCCATTCTTCAGCAGTCTGAATGGGTCTTTGGGTATTTATTTTTCCCCAAGCCCCTCTTGAAGAAACACGTGGGATCATATCCAAGAGGCATTCTGGCGCCCTGCAAAGCCCTACACCCAGTTGGAGTGGTTTGGTGCAGATCCTGGGCAGGTTTGGCAAGCACCACCTCCATGTGCAGCTGCTAATTATCCACATTTTAAACCAATGTCATGGCACTGCTCATTTTCATCCCAGACTGACTCATAAAGGGACGTTTGTTAACATGGAATTAATGCTTTCCCCTTCTTCTCAGGGCCTGGATTGTTTTTGGACAGAATATAGAGAGGAATGGCAACGGGGGAGGGGAAAGAAGAAGCTTGGGATGAAATACTTAATTACCCTGCAGTTGCTAATTAGCTTTGCTAACCAGCCTTGCCTCAGTGTTGCAGCCCCCCTGGCTACAGCTTAAGTACTTTTATCCTTTAACTCGAAAGGGGAAAATTCAGGGCTGGGGGTTGCATATGGATTTTCTGTCTCCTCCAGGAGACGAGTGAAGCCAAACGGCGCCGCATTGAGGCTGAGTTCGAGCGGCTGCGCCGGCTGCTGGCGGAGCAGGAGCGCACGGCGCTGGGGCGGCTGGCTGAGCTGGACAACACCTTCACAGCTACCCACGCCGAAAAATCACTGCGGGTGGCCAAGGGGGTTGCACAGCTCCACAGACTCATCGGGCAGCTGGAGGCCTGTTGCTTGTCCCAGGTGAGTGCCCGCCTTACCCAAAAGCTCTCCCAAACTGCTGCCTATGAGGTCCTTAACTCCCCCTTTTCTCCCTTTTTCCTTTTAGGATGCTGGGAGCATCCTAAGCAGGTATGTGGCAACTAGTTGCTTCGTGTCCCTGTCACTCCAGCTGCGGAGAGGGGCTTGGCTGATACATCCGTCAGGTAACAACATCTGTCCCTGTCATTTCTTTTCCCTCCTGGAGTGAAGTGAGACTCCACCTCCCCTCGGGACTCCCCAAGGAGCTGGAAAAGAGCCTGAGCTCCTGCTGCCGCCAAAGTGATGCTCTGTGGGAGGCCCTGGAGAAATTCAGAGGTATTTGGGTAGAAATCTGATATTTTAGAACAATTCAGAGGTATTTTAGGGGAATTTGGAGCCTTGGGGAGAAATGCAGAGGTATCTGGGATAATTCAGATATATCGGGGGAGGAAATCAGTTATTTTGGGAGGAGTTCAGTTGCATTTTGGGATAATTAAGTTATCTGGTGGGGGAGTCAGAGGCATTTCAGGAGGAAGAGGAGTTTGTCCAAGGGAAAGGTTCTGCACCTTCTCACTCCCCACTCACTCTTCTTCCCTCCTCCCAGACACTGATCCCACCATGGGTCTCCCCACAGCAGAGATGACGCTGGAGACTGGTACGACTCCTCTCCCACAGCTTTTGGAAGAGAGAAAAAGTGTGCAGTGGGATGAGGGGCAAGGGCAGGACGAGGGCAGAGAGCCCCGTTGAGACCAGGAGCTGTCTGGCAGCTGTCACAGGGGTCATTACCAGGAGATGCACAATGTGGGCACAGTAGATGGACTCTGCAAGGTGTACCCTGTGCATCCTCATCTCAGGTGCTGCCCATATTCCTGGGGACACAAATGGTTTTATGACAAGCTCCCCTCCCAGCTACTTTAATTAATAACCAATCTTGTGCTGCTGCTCACCATGTAGGTATTGAATTAAAGAAAAACAAAACAAACCCCCCCCCCCCGATTTTCCTTTTGTGTGTGTGCGTGTGTCTGTGTGTATGTGTGTGTGTGTATGTGTGTATGCATCGGCTACATTTTAAGGTATTTCTCGGTTCCGCTGGGGCAGGGAGAAGGGAGCAGGTGGGATACACGAGTCCCGCGAGGAGAGATGGGCAGAGGGATATATATGAGTCCCGGTTCTCGGGTGCAGAGTGGCGGATCTGTTCCGGGGTCTAAAATATGCGGCCTTGATTGAGAACAGCACGCCCCACTCCTCTCCGCCTCTGGAGGCGGCTGCCCCGTCTCTGGCTGTGGTCACTCGGCTGCCCCCTAACCCCGCACGATAAGCAGCGCGATAAGCGGCGACTCCCCGCGGGACCGCGCCTGTCTTGTCCCGCAGTGCCGCTCTCAGTGGCCATCCCCCGCTGCGGCTCTTTAATTCTATTCCTTTTATTCTGCTCCATACATTCTATTCACATCTGCCCCCCCCTCTCGGTGCAGCCCTTTTGGCCACGCCTGTCAGAGGCGACAGTCACCCCCCGGCCCCTCGGCCCGCACCGCGGAGCAGCTTCCAGAGCCCGGGCAGCCACCAGAGGGGCTCGCACCGCACCCCCAGCTCGGTGCGGCTCTTCTAGCGCCGTCTGGCCCTCGGGGCAGCTTTTCTGGTGGCTCCAGCAGTGGCCATGGCTCAGTCCCGCTCCCGTATCGCCGCCTCGCCCGTCCCGCGGCGCAGCTCTTGGGGACGCCGGGCAGCGGCCACCCCAAGGGGCAGCTTTTTTTAGCTGTCTCGCCTCGCCCCCCGCTTCGTGTAGCCCCTTCACCGCCACCTTATCCCGGGGAGAAAATTTCTGGGGAAATATTTATACCTAGCATACCCCTGACTACTCTTGCTGCTACAGAAACCTTACTTAGGCTGAGATTCTTCTTTGGAAAAACAATCAGTGCCTGAAATAATTAAGAATTAATTAAGCATCGAGTTGGTCTGTTGTTAAGTAATCTTCCAGGCGTTTATTAGAAGAAAGCATAATTAAAAAAAAATAAAAAATCGGTCTTTTATGTTTGTTTGTTTTCTTTTTTTTTTTAAATTTTATTTTATTTTATTTTATTTTTTATTTTTCCCCTCCCTTTTTCTTTGCCCCGAGACATTAGACTTTGGGTTTGTTTGGGCTCGGTTTCGCGGTCCCGCCCTGTCCAGCTCCACACCTCGAGAAGTCAGTGGCGGGATCGCCCAGCGCCGCTACCCGGGATCAAACAATGACCCGGGAATTTTCCATGCGCCCCAGCCCCCGGGGCAGAGGCAAATCTGCGGCTATAAACGGCGTTTTTTAGGGAGTAATGAATGCCCAGTGCGGTTTTTTCCACCCATAATTTCTCCCTATTTTTTTTTTTTCCCCCCATGAAAAACCCGAAGCCGATCAATTCTGGGGCAATCCGATTTTTGGGAACATCGAACTTATTTTACTGTTTTATCTTCCTTATGTATAACTATAATTCCTGGTTAGTATTTTAAACATTATTTTATGTGTTTTTTTATTATTTTCATAGGTCTACAACAAAATTTGCAATTATACTTAAACATCCATATGTCTTACATTAAAATGAGATATAATACACTGAAACTCCGTTAACGTTGTTATGGCTAAAATGCACACGACGGTGGGTTTTTATTGCACTTTAACCCTCCCGCTCCAAGCTGGTATCTACATGAGCTCCAGGGAACTCTGCCCACATGCCACATTCCTGCTTTAATCCTTGTCTCCTGGAGCCCCCTCCTGGCCGCACTCTGCTTCCCCCGCTGCAGCCGGAGGGGTCAGAATTCGCCTCGCCAAGGGCTCGTCCCTCTCAGGCCCCGGCTGCCGCTGCCTGCGTTCCCTTCTCTCCGTAAATCCCCGCTGTCCCGCCCCTCGCCACTTCCAGGGATACCCTGTCCAGGCTCCTTTCGGTGCGCGCTTCCCCGAGTGCGTCCTGTAAACAACCATGGCCGCGGGAAGCGCCTTCAGGTGCCTCCAGGAGGAAACCACCTGCGCTGTCTGCTTGGATTTCTTCCAGGATCCTGTGACGATCCTGAGCTCTGCCGGCGCTGCCTGTGGCGGTGAGCGGCGGGCGGCGCTCCGTGCCCGCAGTGCCGGGTGCCGCTCCCGCACGGCGCCTTCCGCCCCAGCCGTGCAGGAGCTGTGCCACCGGCACCAGCGACCCCTCACTCTCTTCTGTTACCGCGATGGAGTCCTCGTCTGCACCGCCTGCCTCTCGAAGAGGCCGCTCACTGGTACAGGGTGAGCGGATCCCCGTCTCAGACACTTTCCCCCTGCCTGAGCGACGCCAATTTCCCTTAAAACTCAGCCCCCAGAATATGTATTTTGAGCAGGGGCAAAGCATTTCCCTATCTTTCTAGGGATAGAAAGAGACAAAAACCAAGCAAACCAAGGTAAGCATCTAGAAGCCAAAACTGAGGTGAAATGCTGCAATTTGGTGATAGTTAAGTATGAAACAGTACAGTGGTGGCAGTTTAGGGACCAAAACTAAATATTGGAGATTGCAAACTCCTGCTCTCACACAGCACCTACGCTGTGAAGAGTTCCTATTCTTCTTCTGGGCGCAGAGGGGAAATGGGGGTCCCAAAAAGGCCTTTGGACCTGGCTGGGGGTGCAGGTAGTAGGGGAAAGGGGATGGAAATTGAAGGGTGGTGGGAGCTTCTTAAGGTCTGGTGGCAACTTTTTTACAGGAGACCTTGGAGAGATGGGCTATCCCAGCCTGGATATCCCAGTGTCCACTTATTACTGTGTGTTTACAAAAATGTACTGATAAGGTGAGAGTATGCATGCAGCATAGCTGAAGTTCATCAAAACATGGATAAGCATGTACATATCTACTTCAGTGCAGCTGCAGAGGGTGAGTATGGGGCCATCTGTACTGGCTATATCCCTGATGCTTTAGGGGTCCCAGCCCCCATCTCCTTTTCTTCCCTTCTCCAGGAGCATAAACGCCTTTCCTCTGCAGAAGCAGTTTGAAATTTCCCTAAAAACCCTGCAAGAGGAGGACAAGAGATGTGCTGGGTTGACTGAGGCAGCAAAGGACACAAGACTGGAGATGCTGGTGGGTGGTGCTGCCATCTGGGTGCACCATAGGGCCAAACTGCTTCATTCCCCCTCCAGCATCCTTCTCCTTCTCCTTCATCCCCCAGACTCGAGTTAGTGCTGAGAAGCAGAAGCTGCAGGCGATGCTGAAAGGTCTCTGCCTGGTGCTGAGTGACCAGGAATCACTGTTCCTTTCCTTGTTCCATCGCCTGAGATGGAGGTTGGAGGAACAGCAACGTGATGAAGCTGTAGAGATGTCATGGATCCAGCAAAGCCGTGCAGAGCTGCAGGCCAAGTGCCAGCAACCAGATGGTGACCTGCTGGGGGTGAGCAAAAACTTTCCCCCAGAATCTGTTTCCCTCCTATTGGCTTTTATTTACAGGAAAGCAGCCCTAAACACCTTTCTTGCTTTCTCTCCAGAATGCCCAAACAACCTTGAGCAGGTATTGGAGCCAAAAAGCATCATCAGGAACACCAGTTTTGGCCCCAAATCCTCCATTTTTCCAATCATCTTCTCACCCTGTGTTCTTTTCCTCTGGGATTTTCGCTTTGGAGCTGGATGGGGTTGAAGGTTAACCCAAACTTGGTGATGGTGGGGGAATCTTCCATCATATCTTGCAGGAGTGGGAGCCTCTCCTAGGGAAGTAGAGATGTCTCAGTGGTTTTCTAGGAATGGGGAAAGGAAATTTGGGCATTTTTTGGCATTAAACACCCCAATTCGCTCTCCTTGAGGTGCACAGGGAGGAAGGTGCAGCCATCACTGTTCTGTTGATGTCAGAACTGGAAACAGAGCTTGAGGACTTTACTCGAAAAACCAACATGCTGACAGAGGCAGTGACACAATTCAAAGGTACTTGGAGGGTAAAAATTGGCAAAAAAGGGGAATTTGTTAAGCGGAAATAGGAAACTGGAGTGGTTCTGGGAGGGTACAGAACTCCAGGGTTGGCAGATTTAGCTGGAAAGTGAAAGCATCACAAATGCTCATTTAATTAAAAGAAAATAGAGGATTCATTCCTGATTAGCCTTAAGGGATAGAAAACTGAAGGTGGGAGGTGCAGAATGCTGTTGATGGTTAATTAGCATCCAAATTAGGACAGTAATTATGTGTGGAGGATGGTGATGCCCCAGATGAAGGGGGTTGTGTCTCCCACCTCAGGTGGTCTTGCCTTCTCCATGCAACAGGGTTTGGGTGGATGTGGGGAAGGGCCAGGGCCAGATCCAGAGGTAAAAATCTCTGGGGTCATCTTCTATTTCCAGACATGTTGGAGTGCTCTCTGGAGGAAGACTCAGAGGGATCGCTGAGTGTGGGAAATGCAGGCACAGAAAGCTCTCAAGGCCTTGTGCATACAGGCTCAGAAATAGAGACGGATTCAATGTTTGACCTGAGACCTTGGAGAAGGCTTGGCACTTCAGCACAATAACGTGAAACAGACATGAAGTAAGGATCGAAGTTTGTAGTTTAAGCAGAGCTATGTTTTAAGCAAGCAGAAATATGCCTCATGGAAGGGAAAAAATATGTTAACTAAGACAGTAGAAAATTTTAAAGTTTAGCAATAGAACTTGTTATAAAGTAGAAATGAAAGATGTAGTAATGTAAGTTTCTGTAGTGTTATATGACTGGATGAAAAAAGATGCATTGTGGTAGAATTGTGTAAGACAGCAATTAATGTTTGCTTTATGAAGATGCTAGTGAGCTTTGTAAAAAATTGTTGATTTTGTAAAAATTTTGTAAAAATTGTTGATTGGCTAAGAAATTTATAAAAGGCATTGTGGCTATAATTAATACAGCTAATGATGATGATGATGATGATGACGTTTGATGTAACAGCCTTACTGTCTCACCCTTCCATCAGACTGATTTTGCAATAAAACACCTTTTACAACGTCTCTCAGTCGACCCCGTCTACTCTGTATCCAATACTGGAGAGGTAAGGCTGGCTTCAGGGACTTACTGAACACACATATGGGTTCAGTGCCTGGAGCTGATGCTCTGGTGCAATTTTTGGAGGTGATATTCCAATGAGTAGAGCCTCATGAAGATCCCTCTCACTGCCAGCAATCATGACCTTGGATCCAGCCGCAGCTCACCCCCAGATCCTGGTGTCATCAGATGGCTGGACTGCAGGCTGCTGGGAATCACCCCAAGCTCCTCTGCCCTTAGGAGTGGAGCATTTTGAGTCTCTCCACTGTGTTTTGGGTTGGCAGGGCTTTGTGGGGGGCATTGCTGGGCTGTGAAGGTTTGTCCTGGTCCCGAATGGGCACTGGGAGGTGCTCAGGAATTTGTATCCTGTAAGGCCTGCTTTGGTCTCAGCCCCGAACATGGGGTTTAGGCTGTGGGGCAGTGGTCTGGGCAGCTGCAGGCTCTCACCTGACCCAGCCCCACATCTCTGCCCCACTGCTGCACTCTCGGATGCATCAAGGTGGCTCTGGACTATGCCGGTGGGCAGGTGGCTTTCCATGATGCCGATAGCTAGATTGAAATTTTTTCCCCAGCCACTTTTCAGGTGAATGACTCTGGCCACTGCCCTGGCTGGGTAAGGGGCCAGCTATGCTCACCCTCTGTCCCTGAGTCCCCCCAAAATCCACCATGAACCTCCCAAGTGCAGACACTTCTACCACGCCAACAAACACTCCACTCAACAACAAACAGCCCCACTCCCCCTGCAGCCCCATTTCATTTTCCTTACAACACCTAATTTAACAATCAAATTTCATTCTTTTGCTTCTCAATAGGAGAACAGAGGTATTTTTAATTCCTCAGCTGTTTGTCAGTGGAAGCAAGAACAAGAAAAACATGGAGAATGTCCCTAAAAGATTTTTAAAAACTCGCCTTGAGGAAGAAAATGGGCTTTGCTACTGCTGCTAGATGTCTCATAATAAAGTTTTGCAAGTGGAAACTTTTCTGCTTAGGATTTGTAGAGAATTTAGGGGAAGTGGGCTAAAACCACATTTCATGTCTCCCAGGTTTACTTAGACTGGGGTCTTTTTGGGGTTTTGTATTCACTGCCAGGATGTAAGCAGGGAGAGAGGCCACAGACAGGATTTCATCCCCCATTTCACTGCCTACAAGTGAATAGAAGGGAAAAAAACACAAGTGAACTAGTATCTTGAAGCAGCAGAAAATTGTTATTAGGGTTTGACCATGTAATAGAGTGCTCTTATCAGCAAGCACAGGCATGAGTAGGCAGGTCTCTGCCCCTTGCAGTCCCAGTCACTCCTTTGCTGCCAGACTTTCCTCCCCATCCACATGCACTCTTCACATTGGTCTAAGGAAGAGGAGAAACTACCAGGAAAGGCAGCAACTTTTGTCTTTGGAACCCCAATTTTAAACAAGGGCCCTGACAAAACAGGGGCACAGCTAAACACACATTACAGCCCTACTCAGTTGTACAATTAATTGTTTCCTTGTTTGGCTCATGATAAGGTTGGCCTTTCCTTGAAAGACAAGGCCCAGTGATGTGTAAAGAAAACACTTTTTTGCAGCATCCTGCTCCAACACATGAGTTTCCAACACTCCATCCACTTTTCGTCTGAAAAACTTTATGAACATTTAATTTGAAAGTCCATACAAAAAAGAAACATAAAAAAGCCTGCCTTTTTGTGTAACTCAGTAGCCCCACAGCTGGCTCTCCAGCATTGGGGTGGGGAGTAAATCAGCCTCTTTCTGCTCAAGGGCAGCTCAACAGCATCCTATCAGCAGTTGGGAAAGCAGATGGTTGGGTGTGGAGGATGCACAGCTCCCACTCCTTGAGCAGAGCCAACAGATGTAGCCCTCCTACCTGTGGACCTCAAAACCCTCCTGAGTGACAGGCACACCTCATACCACCCCATGAAAGAGGCTGTGTGGAGTAGCTGAAAGAGTTTTTTTTTCCACAAGAGTCAAAGATTTTTCCACAAAGTTGGAGCCCAGGGTCCATTTTGTGGGGGTTTGTGACTTGAGGATGAGCATTCCCAGGGGGTAGTTTTAGCCACTGCCTCCTGCTTCTCCTCCCATGCTGTTCCTCTTCCACTGACACCTCAGGATCAGACTGAGTGGGAACTGTGCTTCCAAAGGAAGAGCAGCAGGCATGGAGGGGCAAGCCTGAGTCAGGACTGCAGGCCCTCCACAATGGTGGGGGTATTAAACCTCTCCTGTTCCTCATTGAGGTCCATTGCAAGTGAAAAGAGGTGGATTTTGGGGATGGGTTTACAACAGTGCAGGGTAATAATTTGTTGGTGTTGGTGGGTGCTTATAAAGATGGAGCTTAAAAGGTACTTTTTTAAATCAGCAGTGTGTTACATCCAGAAGACAGAAAATACAGCTGTAGTACAAACCAGGGTGGGGTGTGTGTTTTTAATCCTCTGGTTTTGGGTATGTTCACTCCATTTTGGGCCTTCTCCCCAGGGGAGCAGCTATCACAGTGGGAAATGAGGATTTTCCACCTGAAAACAGTGCCCACAGGGAAGAAATCCCCAGATTAGGGAGGAACTTATTAAAGAAATGGTGGCCTCTGCACTGCTGCCCTGAGGAGAAAGTGCTGATGAACTACCAACACTGTTTTTTTAGAGAAGGCTATCCCCTTTTAGGTGAGAATAAGATTTGTTGTTTTCAGCACTAGCAGTGGATGTGGGGAAGAAACAGCTCCAAAAATATCCCTAAATCCTACCAGAATTAACCCATATCCCAACTGGGGGGAAGGGGGGGGGGGGCGGGTAAAGTTTTTCAGGTGTCATCAGTTTGCCCAGTTGCCCCCTCCAGGGGCCTGTTCATCTCTTCTTACCCAGTTTATTGGGATAAAATTTCACAATTTCATTTAATTTTTTTCCATTTTATAATTTCTCCTGCTCTGACAAGAGGCTTTTTCTCCCCAAAAATGAAGCCAAGCAGGATGTTTCTCCTGCCAAGCCCTTCATTGCCCAAAATCCTCTCCAAAAATCTGCATCTGAGGGTTTATTTAACCTCAAAGGGCCTTTTTTAACATAGGATGAAGCACTATAGTGCAGTACAGGGCCTTAGTGGCATGAATATAGCGATAGCTGAGTTGAGCAAAAGAGATCTGAATTTTGTATAATTTTTAGTTTTTGCCTTTTATCCTCTGAAATAGAATAACTCTGTATAGACCCATGCTTTAGACCTGAATTACCCACATGGAGGAATTCCCCCCTGGAGCTATGGTGAGCCAGCTGTACTTTGCTGCTCACCTGAATCCTCTGCACGAAAACTCACTATGAACTGAACTTTGTCTTTAAATAAACTGGTTAAGTTTAGCAATTTATTGTGTCACTCATAAGCTGGCACTGGTGTATTAAACAAGGTGTTTTTGAGCCACACTGCAGTGCTGCCACAGGTGGGACCCTCCAGGGGATGGGGACAGCCAGAGGTAAGGGTATTCAGAGAGAAATTGCTCTATGAAAACAAAGACATCTAGGATGGGGGTTTGAGGACTTAGGGGGAAAGGGACCTCTGGGCCTGGCTGGGGACCCAGGGAGGTCAGGGACCTCTAAGGCATGCAGATGACATGCAGTGTTGCAGGTCAGGGGTGGGTGACATACCCATCTTGAGGTGTGCCCATCGCCAGTTCCATGACCCTCAGCACGTTTGCTGGGTCAGGGCCAGGGTTCACCACTCTCGTGTCTCCATCCTCAACAGTCAGCCCAGGGGAAGAATGAGCTTCTTTATACTTGCACTTTCGTTTGACCAGCAGTTATTGATGTGACTGGCCGTAAAATAATGGTGCCAAGAAGCAGGAGGACACTGACAGTTTTAAGCAGGTCCAAGCCCACTGTAAAGACCTGATTAAAGCTGTAAATGCAGTGTCCTGGGAGGTCAGCAAGGAGCACTCTGGCTCACAGGACACAAGGAGGTGTTCCAGCTCACTCCTCACCTAGCAGGTAAATCATGGATCCCATGGGGGCCACAGTGTTGATATATTTTATATATTAGTAAAGGCCTGTATGCACAAACCAGCCTTTGAAATAAGTCGTGATATTAAAGGCTAAAGTCCTTGAAACCTTCATGCAGAAGAGAGAGTAAAGCAAAACAATATCCTTGTGTGTAGGAGAAAAAATGTAAGCTGTGTGTGTTAGCCAATAGTAGCTTGCTCTGCCCGCAGACCGTGTAGAACCCTATAAAAGGTGTGCTAAAGATAGAAATAAACGGCTTTCACGATTACTTCTGTGAAGACTGGTGAATAGCTGGCGGTCTCTCAATACCACAGGACCAGATCTTATCCTGCTCCCACATCTCCTCTCCAGCTTCTGCTGTGGCCTCCCACCTCCGTAGCTCTCTGGCCACAGGTTTCCAGCCAGCCTCACATCCACCAATGCAACCCTCTTAGGGATCTATGATCTTATCAGCAAAGGCCATGGGAACCCCACGTTCCCATGCTTACAGATGCTGCACTAGCCTTCACAGAGGGCTAGTGGATGAGTTCCAGCAAGTCTGTCCTCCCTCCTGGAGGTGCCCTGTAGCCAGCACTACATGAGGAGGAGATGTCATCCCATGCAGAGCCCCTGGCTTCTCAGGGCTCATGTTAAATTTTGAAGAGGTTTTGATGACTAACATTTTGGTTGATAAAAATTCAGTAAATGTTGTTAATGAAGTTTTCTGAGGAGTTCTGGAGTCAATGGGTTTAAATGAAATTGGAGAATAACAACACTGCTGCAAAACCAGCTGCATCTGATACAGGAGGAGCCAGACAAAGAACCAGAACGGTGCTAGAAATGCTGCTGCCTGCAAATGTCCCAGCAGTGACGAGGAGTCTGGAGTTCTGGAGTAAATATCCAGTGTCCTCCAAAAGCAGATACTGGACCTGCCAGATGGTCTTGGACCCAGCCCCAGCACCTGGCACCAGACATCCAGCCATGGGCTCTCAGGCACTTCAAATCCCA